ACACACACACACACACACACACGTACGCATGTATATATATTATATATGTATATATATATATATATATATATATATAAACATTGGGGGTGGTTGCAGGTGTCTGACATGAGACGTATCAATCGCCAACCCACCAGTACCCACGCCACACGAAAATACTGAGCGGTGGCATTACACCTGCATCGGTTACATACAACTTGCAAAGATATGCCCGCACTACATACGCTAGGTGCTACAGATTATGTCTGCATATGAGTGAACAACTATCCGCATCCGAACTTTAAAACTACGCCGTTTTAGTCATGCAACATATGCACGTGACATACGATGTGACTTACGCATACAGTAGTCCTGTATTTCCATATAGGACCACGCGTGCAGGTACATAGATCACATATACCAGGCCAGTCGCCACCCTTATTGCATACCTGTATACCCACACCCTACAGTAACTGAATACATGGATGCCAATAGTGACCCAAAAATCACATCGTACAAACAGGTCCTGTTGTCACAAGCATTGTTCACGTCTCCGATATTCCGCCATACATTGACACACCGGCGCACTATTAGATCCGAGACACACAGGTATACCTACACATTCCGGCTGCCACTTACCCCTATCTTTCGAACTGGAGACACAGGTATACCTACACATTCATACTGCCACTTACCCCTATCTTTCGAACTGGGTCTGTCACGAGAATCATGGTCACGGTCACGCCCACTGCCGCCTCGGCTGGGAGATCGGCTGGGAGCAGGAGACCTCTCGGCCATACCATATGCTGAAAGATTCTTAGGTACACTGATCTCACCACTAGACATGTTGATATCGCCTGGAGAACGTCAGGAACAAAGGAATGGAGAGATGAGAAGCAGCTCTGTTGTCACGCAAGCACGGGTTCAAGTGTTTTGATGATTAAACAATTTCTACAGAAATCAGGATGAATAACAGCCAGCACTCATAGCAAACACCCAGAACCCTTTGAACGCTCGCAAAAAACATATCTATGACTTATCTGGAAACTTTTACAACCACTTCCAAAAGAAACCGCAAAAGGTTCCTCCAAAAAGCGAGTGTTCAGAGAAAGTTCAGCATATACTCACTCAGACACTCAGAAGAGATCAAACTTACCGAGAAGCTTCAAAGCTCCTTTGGACATCTTCAACATGCGCAACAAGTCTTCCCGCCGTTGGACTTCGTCGGGTGACTCCTCCATCAGCTCATCGGGATTGCCAGCCGAGTACAGCCTACGCCAAGCGTATGTACGAACAGCAGCATGTGAGATGCAATGCCGGTGGTAGAGGGCCGGTGTGATGGTAAGTTTACGATGCAGTGGCATATACAGTAGTAGAGTCGCCGCAGAGTGTAATTGAGCGTATGCGGTCATGTAGTGCAAGTGCGTCAGACTAGTTAAGTTGCAGGTTAAGTACAGCCTTTACCTACGCGTACATACAGTGTAGCTAACTAGCTAGACTGAGAACCAATCAGAATCACCATGAGCGCATGCGGTCATTCTCAGCATACGAGTGAAGAACCAGGCAGTTACAGCCTGCATGAACGAGACTATAGGCAGCAACAGGACAGTTCTGGGTACAAATAAAGCCAAAGTTCTGGGTACAAATAAAGCCAAAGTTCTGGTTACAAATAAAGCCAAAGTTCTGGGTGCAAATAAAGTCAAAGTTCTGGGTACATATAAAGCCAAAGTTCTGGGTGCAAATAAAGTCAAAGTTCTGGGTACAAATAAAGCCAAAGTTCTGGGTACAAATAAAGCCAAAGTTCTGGTTACAAATAAAGCCAAAGTTCTGGGTGCAAATAAAGTCAAAGTTCTGGGTACAAATAAAGCCAAAGTTCTGGGTACGAATAAAGCCAAAGTTCTGGGTACAAATAAAGCCAAAGTTCTGGGTACGAATAAGCCAAAGTTCTGGGTACAAATAAAGCCAAAGTTTTGGGTACAAA